ATAAAATTTAGGTCATGTTCCCTCAGCTTTGTGCCTCACCCACACATGGAGAGTTTTAATTCCAGATATGGCAGTCACTATTTAAGTGGTGACACTGACAAGCATAGTTACAGTAGTTACTATTTAAATGAAAAAATAATACTTCCTGCTATTTCTCAGGGTAACTGTGCAGAAAATACAGCTTCGAAGCTGGAACTAAGCCGAGAGGAACAGGATGAATTTGCAATAGGCTCTTACAAGAAGACAGCAGCAGCCTGGGAGGTAATTATCCATTTTTGTCTGAGGGAATAACATGGAAGAAACGTTACCTGAGTACCAGTATTAGGTCCAGGTTGACACCTTGTGTTCTTCACCTGACTGAACAATTGTGGAAGACACAAATGAATATTAAGTTTGAGGAAAAGAGTAGACTAAGTTCAGCTATTTCTGTCAAATGTGACCTGACATAAGCAGTTAAACAGACCTACAGTTTACTTAACTCTTACATGTACATCCAATTGGTCTTATTCTTGTCAACCTACAGGCACCCTAATCTCTTTGGGAGAGCAGATTATGTGTCAAACCACATCATGCGATATCAAACATGACTTCAAGTATATGGATTTGTATGGGATTGATATTGGATGTGATTGATGTTGTGTGATGTGGCTTAATACATAATCTACTCTCTGAGGGAGCTTAGGGCACCTGTTGTCAACCTCACTATTCCACCAAAGGTTATTTTCCAGCATTTTATTCAGCCATTTCTTGCCTTATGTGAACATTTGGTTTCCAAACTCAGCACTTACCAGTTAAATTTAGGAAGCTTAAGGTAAAACTATGTGTTGTTGAGCTAAACATTTTGGCTGCCTTACATAGGTATTGTACAATAGCTAAGACAATATCCACAAAAGTTGGATGAAGTGCTGATAATACAGTATTAGTAGCACTCTTAAGTCATTGTTACCATGGGAAGGGAAATATTTTGCTTTGTGTATTCCATTTTAGGCAGGGAAATTCAAAGATGAAATTATTCCTGTATCCATTCCTCAAAAGAAAGGTATGTCTGTCTATTACTGGATGAAGAGGGGGGCATTGGGGTGTATTAAAAACCACAAAACCATAGAAAAAAATCATCCAAAACTGCAAACTGCAAAAAAAAAAGGTGGTTAAAAAAACCGAAAAACTGTCAAAACCAATAAACTTTCCCATCCCAGGTATTAAAACCCTAATTGATCTGATGCAGTGGTGACAGGTGGAGCATACAGAGGTTTCACAGCTATTCAAGATCAGTGGAGGTCCAAAATATTACCACTTAGATTGAAGAGAAACAGAAACCCAAACAGGAAAAACTGAAAACCACATCAAAATCTAAATCTGAAAAAACCATAAGTATTTTTGATGGAAACTGAAAACCAAATGCTAAAACATGGAAGATCCGCAAACCACAATGAACAAAAATGGAAGTTTTTTTTTTTTTTTTGCAAAAACCAGAACACTGATCTTAAAAAAAATAGCCAAAACTGTAAAACAGAAAATCCTAATGCCATCATAGATTGAGATTACCTTGCTTGTTGGTGTGAAGACAACCTATACAGTTTCTTGTAAAGTACTTAAAAGGTACTGAGTACTTAACTGTTCTTAAATGCAGTGGAGAATCATTTGAACTCTAAGTTAAAGAAAAAACTCACCCACAACAACGCTTTTAGCTGTAAATCTCTCATGAAGCTACAGCAATATGCTTTGATGTATCTTAAGTATGGCAGTTGTTTGAATATTGTATTCACTAGCTATAGAAATCAAAGTCAAGTGAAATTGGCCACAATTTTATATTTTGTTTGTTATCAGGACAACCTGATGTGGTATTTAGTGAAGATGAGGAATACAAGAGAGTTTCATTTGATAAGTTTGCAACACTGAAGCCTGTTTTTCAGAAAGAAAATGGTAAGCCCTCTTATTTTATTTTAGTGATTTAATTAGTCAAAATTTTGACCAGAGAAAGTGTGGCTCCTTCTAGCAAGTAGATTTGTTGTTTGTACAGTTGGCCTTTAGATCACTTCAAGTTACTTGATAGGTAGAATGCTAAATACACTGACGAGATGTCCATACAGAAATTTGGCAAAATAATGCAGTTTTTGTATACAGACCTTGTCAATTATTATCTGTATTAATACTGTTTAATAGCTGAAATTCTTTGATAACTAATGCTTTGCTGAATATGAGAACTTCCCTTCATCAAGCCTAATCAGGCAGTCTATATTTGATAATCAGACTTTCATTGACGCATTTAGTAGGTGGATAATTTTTTTCTCCATCTCTTGGAATAACTTGATTTGCAATCAAATAATTGATATTGAAACCGAACATTCAGTGATGATTACTGGGTGGTAAGGTGCTTTTCTCTAATATTAAGCAACATGTGTATTCATTTTACTGTAAGAAGACTTGAGTTAGTTCATAACTGTGGGCAAGAAGTTAGTGATTGAGCAATTCTGTCCTGAATAATGAAACTGTTCTGAGAAATTACAGCAATAGTTCAATAAAATTTAGCTTTTTGATAACAGAATATAGATGTGCATGTTGACTGTTATGTGCTTCTTCATATTTAATTCTTCAGGTACAGTAACAGCAGCTAATGCCAGCACTCTGAATGATGGGGCAGCAGCTCTTGTGCTCATGACCAGACAGGCCGCTGACCGGCTAGGAGTGAAGCCACTTGCCTCCATCATAGGTAACTTGAGAGAGCTGGTTGAATAACTTTATTGTCAGTCAGTCAGGAAATGTGACCATCCAGAAAAGGGTTGCTTGCAAGCTGGTCTTAATAGTATTAGCCCTGCTACACAAAGGTTTCATCAGCAGTGAAAAAGTTTGAGGTGAGCTGGCAAGATGTCTGAGAGAGGTCTGGCACTAATAATGGTGCCAGACTCCTTCAGACCTTTCCTTGCACAAGGCCTCAAACTTTCTGACACAGTAAGAAGTGCTTTTTCCCCAGCTCTATCACCCTTTAACTCCCAGACCAAATTTGTAATTCTCCTTACCATCAACCATACAACTCTTATAATGTTAGTTCAGAGAATTTAGTATTAGATCAACTAATTATTCCCAAATTGATAGTTTTCTTTTTTCTCATCACTTGTCTGGTTGATATTGTATTGATATTGTAAGGAGAAATTTTGTCTTGGTCACTCATGGGAGTTGAAGGGTTAATGAGGGCCTCCTCACAGCTACAATAAGTCTTTTAAAGTACTGAAAAAGACCGTGATTAGTTACAGTGATTGATGTTTGAGTGATCTAAGGATAAACTGACATCAGATTCAAGGGAGGAGTTTTTTTTTTTTAATCAAACATTATTAGTTTAGTTCATGAGAATTGATTTATACACTCTTGTTTACTTACCTTAAAGTGAGGTATCTGTATTTTGTTCTTCAGGTTTTGCTGATGCTTCAGTTGCACCCATAGACTTTCCCATTGCACCAGCTGCTGCAATGCCCAAGGTATTGTCTTGTACTTAAAATGTTGAGTTCTTTTCAAAGCATTTTACAATTTGGTGTATACTCTATTATTTGTGATATTGCTGATGCTGGCAGTGTGCAGAGCAAGCACATTTGTCTAACGTCTGCGCATGTGCAAACCTTGTAGAGTCTTGGTGAGGCTAACTGGTGTGCTTTTAGGGTGTCAAAAACAACTTATCCTATAAGCAAATGCTCAAGTAAGTAAGTAAGTTGCAGTGTTTGAAAAGCATAAAACTATTTTGGTGAAGCTAAAACAAAATGGAAAATTAACAGGAAACCCGTAATCAAGTAAGCTTTGTGTAAGAAAGTCTTGCGTTTTCCTTTTACCTCATTTTGTCTTTTTTACAGATTTACATGAAGCCATTAATGTTTTTTTCTCGCATATTTGGCATGACAGTGTTTGTTTTTTCTATTTTCCTTTGAAATTTTGCGAGGGGAAATTGGCGCACGGCTGACCAAAATTGATCCCCTTGTGCATGCCCTACATTTGACTGTTGTGTTATGCAGAGCAGTTGTCACATATGAACGTAGTAGTGGCTTAACTCACCACATTGTTCTCTGTAGTTCAGTGGTAAAGCAGAGTACAGAATTGGAAGGTCTGGGGTCGATTACTTGTGGAGGACGCACACGCCCATGACAAGATGAATAACACCTTTAATTATTTTTGTCTTGTTTTTGTTTGCCTTAAGTTGTTACAACAGACAGGATTAAAGAAAGAAGACATTCACATGTGGGAGATTAATGAGGCTTTTAGTGCTGTTGTTTTGGGCAACATCAAGGTCGGTATAAAATAGTGAGCAGTGGAACTCCCAGAAAGGTCGAAATATGTTCATTTTTAGTATAAATCTACTACATTCTATTACAAATGCTGCGACTGATCTGATTGGCTTCGCGTCTTGCTATCTCTTCCGTGATAGATAGAGACTTAAGTGATTAGCCTAACACAGTGTGGTTGAAAATAAAATGGATGTGACTTGAAATGCATTTTGAGTAAATAAGTTATTGGCCTTGTTGTTTACAGTTGATGGAGTTGGATCCCGAGAAAGTAAATATTCACGGGGGTGCCGTGTCCATTGGCCATCCTATTGGGTAAGTTTTGTTGTTGATACTGGTTCAAGATAAAGGGCAGAAAAAAGGTGAAAATAAAGATCAGTAGAGGCTTGACCCTATGGGCTGGAAAGTTTAGGTTACGCTCTGGCAGTTATGCAAGTTTGTCTCGTATACAGACTCTACCAATTACACTCGTTGAATTATCGTGTCCAGTTTGTTGATTGCTTGTTTCAATCTTACAGTATGTCAGGTTCACGGTTAATAGCTCACTTGACTCATACTCTACCCGAGGGAGCCCTGGGTCTAGCAAGCATCTGCAATGGAGGTGGAGGAGCATCAGCTATGGTTATCAAAAAACTCTGAAGTCAGCTGACTTAACGTCATAAGACAAACCTGACGTCAATTCAAGTCCATAGCGTAATTCCTCCGTTGTGGCTAGTTATTACATCCAGTTCAACTGCTTAAGTTAACTAGGTGGGGGCTCACTAGAGGAAATGATATCCGGCTGGGTGTACAGTTTATATCGTTGCAACACAAGTTCTGTCCGCACAGATTGGATATCCAAAGAATTCTATTAAATTTTGCGTCTTCTTAGTAATTATTAATTGGTCAAGTCACTCGCGTTCAAGTGTTAGAAACAGGCTACAGTTTGGCAATAGGATGGAAGAATGCAAAAAAAAAAAACGGTTTATTTTATGTAGACTTGCGTGCGTATCTCCTCAGTAAAAGAAACAATGCAAACGAAACGACAAAAGAACTGTAAGACTATTATGGTTGTCGAGCACAAGGTGTTCTCAACGAATACTTCTATTTCAAATAATGCTCCCTTTTAAGTCCTAATGGGTGTAAAGTTGTAATAAATGTCACATGTTGCTTTCACTTGAAGAATAAAAATTTGTAACTGTGAATCTATCCTAGAAGTGAGCGCAATTTCAGCCGTAACATTTAATCATTCAGCAGCAGCATTAGATTTCAAGCGTTTACAAAACCATTCCCTTAAAGTTACACGAAACACCTTTCATGGAAAGTGAAACCAATACTTTATTTTTACACGAACTGTTCACTTCCTGTTTTACATATATGTAAAATACACAATAAAAGTAGAAAGTAGTATATTAAATATATCCTTGAAGATATCACGTTCTTTGTTCACGAGGTCCTAAAAAATGGACCATGGCAAATATTTTTTTTACAAGGCAACAAACAACCAACAAAATAATAATACTGTACATCTCAGTTTTGTTCCAGGCCTTTTGTTATTTTTTTTGTTTTGGTCACAAATTCCATTATCCTGAAAGTCTTTTAAAAAACTAGTCAACGTACCATTTGTTTTTCAAGCCACATAATTTTAAGTTATCCCCGACAACACACTTGGAAATAAAGCTTTGTAGAAGTTCTCTCATGAATTTCAAAACTGTTCGAATAATTCAGTTCGAATCTAAGGATAATACAATTTAATAATCCAATAATTTAAATGATGTCACGTTACGTGGTAACCTTCGACGCAAACTGAACATTAAGTCGATTCTTAACCCTTAAAACTCTACGAGTGACCAGCATCAACTTTCTCCCTACAATATCACCTCTGAATAACACGTTAAGGTCATGAGAATAAAGGAAATGATCACCAACGAAAGAAGCTTTTGATTAGTAAACAAATTCTCCTTGTCAGTACCTTAGGAAATGTTTGAAGAGCAGTATGGAGAATATGCATACTGATTGTAGGGTGTAAAGGGTTAAGATTGCTATCGCTAAAAGGGGTCACAGCATTACTACATCGGTCATACAAAGCAGTCACCCCCACGAGACATCATCAGCATTTGTTCGAGTTCACAGATCCTGGCGTACAGAACTCCCTGTTCCTCCTCTGCTTTGGCTCGCCACCAATTCTCCACCTCTTGCATTTGACGCTGGTGGTGCACCTATGGAAATGACAGTGGAATCAGCATCGACTAATCAGAAAAAAGGTCAACATCATAAGGAACCAGAGTAATAAATAAGCGTAACCGACCTATTACGCGGGAAAGCGCAGGTGAAAAAATCGTGAGAGGCGTGAATTTGTATCAGTTTCGCGGAAGGCATAGCGTGAGTGTTTCAGACCACTCAGAAAGCTGCGAATTTAATAAAATCTCTTCGTATTCGAGGAAACATAACGACCCAAATTTGATGTGATATCTGAAATTTTAAAGATGCAAAATTACATGCAGCACTGTACTGCACCCTTAAAAAGATGTCGCGGTTCAAAACTTATTCTCCACAGTAACTAACGCATACATCCGGTCTTACCACACTCCAGAACCTGATGAATGTTTAAAGTAAGAGGGAGTGATTTCTTGGCAAGTAGAACTAAGTAATTTGGGTATGGATGGGTAAATTCCTATCAAATATTGTGTTGAAACTTGCATTCGTTCCTTCCTATTTTTCATCGTAAGTAGGCGATGATGAAAAGAGCTTTAAAAAATCCGCGCACCTGTGTAGCAGCTAAAGTCTCGTGCACTTTATGAGAATTTTCGTCTTCAATCACTGGTTGCGCCTCAATCACTGTGTCTAACACTTCTGCAACAGGTTTTGCTTCTATGATTGTCCCCGAAGAGTGAAGGCCGGCTCTGTTGCCAACAGGTCTAGCTTCGATGACTGTTTCCACGGACCCGGTGTCACTGATCTGTGTACGAGAACTTGAGCAAGTTCCACTTGAAGCCAACTGCGAAAAAGGTGCTACAAAAACAAAACAAACAAAAAGGACTTCATAAATAAAAAAAAGAGTTGTAATCGGACCACGGCAACACCGTACAGCATGAATGTTTCGCGTACTTTGCGGAATGTCGTCTATCAGGTACTACATTTAGTGAATTTTGGCGGAGTTCTTTTTTTTTTTTTTTTTACCATCGGATCGAAGTTTACCCGCAAATCCTGTAAAATGTCAAAACCCATCAAACATCCTAGCATGCTTTACAGTAGATAAAATGTCATTTTGGTAAGGTATGAATTAAGGTGAATTTAATACTCCGTATACTACACTTGTGCTACTTGTTAAATGTACTTACGAGACATCCCTCCACTGTTTTCCAAGTGGTGCATGCAGTCTTCACACGGACTCCTCCCAAGGTGAGGGGAACTCATACTTCGCAAATGACGGATCCCTCGATCAGTAGCACAGTTCTTTCCTAATTCAGGATTACATCGTTCGTTTTGATCGATAAAAGGCATATTGTACCCCGCAGAAATCTGCCCAAGTCTTAATTCCAGTTTACTCAAACCTCCTTTAATTACACCGCGCATTTCTTCCCGTATGTTATTGCTGCTATCTTTTAGGCTTTTACTAACTAAGCGACTGTCCGTGGTGCGTTCATGTTTTTTACTCCTACTCCCTTTCTCTTGTAATTTTTTCTCTTCTTTTAACTGTTCCGTGAGTCTGTTTTCAAGCCGTTGCAATCTGTGTTCGAGTCTTCGCCGAGCGGAGTCGATTTCTGCAGTACACCGCTCTTGCCACGCCTCAAGACGGCTCAGCTGCGTCTGACACGTGCTGCAGTGACTTTGGTTACAAGGTGTAGTTTCAAAGTCAGCCTAACGAGCAGAAGGCATCAAGTTTATCAAGTTTGCATCACAGAAAGTTAGCATATACCAAGCCCTCAGTCAGTGGGGGCGAGAGAAAGAGCGTGCGAAAAACAAACAGTGGTGTTTCTTTGCCTGAACCCCGGTATTCTTCCCACGCCCCTATGGATTTTTCGCTTGTTTTCACTGACCAAGAGTGTGGCACAGGCAACACCAAAGGAAGTAGCTCGTCGTTACATTTCTAGATCGAGCAAATAATATTCACAGCGAAACCCGTTTGTGATTTTTAATGGTGATCTACACGTGGATCTTATTCCTAACGTCGTTCACCTATCGTGTGGCAATAATATTTTGAGAGTGCTGAACAGGCTGCAAGTACTAGGACAGACTATGCACTTCTTTTTGACATTTTTCTTAGTAGTATTAAATAAGAAAAGAGTTCCACCCACAACACAACCTACTTTATCATGATCAACTGATTTACACAATCACCTAAGTAGACCTTCATTAGATGAACGTTCCCAGGACTGTCACTGATTAGAAAGAGAGCCGAAACAGAGGTTCCACTGCAGTTTGCATTCAAATTCAATAGTTCTTTGATTATCTATCGCTTTCTATGATCTGATAGTTACACAAGTAAAATTAGGAAAACAGAGAAAACTAATGAAGTTCGTGAGGACCGAGCCTACAGCCAAGTGACTAGAGGCGTGGAAGGGGAAGGTCAATTTTGTTCCCATCATACCCTTCCCACACCTTTTCACCAAATCACTACTTACCCCCAAACGGTGCACAATCTCTTTTCGCTCGTTACTCCTCCCGTGTTCGTCGGTTTTTCTTTTGTGACTCTTGTCCCTTCTGGCTCTATCTTTCTCCTTCTCTTTTTCTCTGTGATGTTTCTTTTTCTTATGTTCTCTGTCTCCATCGTCCTTGTCTACATGTGTCTTAAAGTCCTTTTCATCTGAGTCTACGTCCCTCCGATCTCTTTCCCGTCTTGGTTCCGATTTAGATCTGCGTTCTTTGTGTTTCACTTCCTCGCTGCGTCTCTTTTCTCGGGATTTTCTCCGTTTTTCCTGACAAATAGTGCAGTCTGATTCATTTCCATCTTTTTCGTCACGACGTGAATATTTCTTTTCTTTTTCTTTATCTTTCCGTTTTTCTTTCTTTTCCCATTTTTCCCTTTCTTCCTCGTGACCTTTTTTATCTTTCTTATCCTTTTTTCTTTTATCTTTCTTTTCTCTGGTCTCTTCTTGCTCTTCTTTTTCTTTTGACTCTTTTTTCACTTTATGTACACCATTCCCCATCACCTCCCCTCCGGAGGGTGGGAATTTCTCTTTAGGTTTTGTACAGAATAAAGCGTTTTTCAAGTCTGGGTCACTTGCGCTCCTGAACAAGGAGAAAAAACCTTTTTCCTTTTTGGTCTTCTTCTGGGAAAGGCTCTCCTCTAAATCGTCTCTGCTTGGAGCGCTTTCGGAAAGAGAGAACACGTTTAATCCTTCCACTAAGATTTCCAAATAATCTCGTTATTATCTAATGTACATTTCTTAAAATGTTAGTTCTTAGAATTTCTAGGCTTAGGCATCATCCCCATTAAGCTATCAATTCATTCTCGTCTCCTATCCACTGGTAATTTGTTGACAATGTAAAAGAAATGGTAAATAGATCATTCATATAAGTCACTGTGAAGAAGTTGAGAGAGGAAAAAATTCCACGTAAAGTTAACAACCTCCCATGTGTGCCGACCTTTATTCGTCCCATTCGCTCGCGTCCAAACATATCGGCAAAAACTGGGCTTTCTGCTACAAACCTGCTCTTGTTTTGAAAGAACTTAAATGAACCAAAACGAAAACCATAAACAAAATACACGAGTCTGTGTTATGAAATCTGTTGGCTTAGAGAACAAAAATCCAAGACAAAATATTGACATAGAAGCTTTCGAAAAAACATACGAAGCACTAACATTTATTTCCATTTTTCTATCGTTCGTCATTTTCAAATTTTATTGCAACTGTTTTGAAACTTGGCGGAAAGTATTAAATCGCGTGTTAAATTTAAATAGCTGTGTTAAACACGACATATCACTAAAAAGTTTCTTGGCTTAGACTTTGGTCAGGAAAGATTTATCAAACTGATG